TTCTTCCAATTTTCTACGAGGGTATAGTTTCGATCAGAATCAACATTTGTGACTTGGTGGAAGCTCCCCATTCTTCCCCTCCATCCTTTGGGTGGCCCCTTTTAATGGGGAGGCTTTCTGTTGTGTCTACAAGATGGTCTCTTCTTTCTTAGCCCTCCATGTTTTTTCTTTACGGGAGGCTTTTTCTCTCTATGATCTTTTCAATGTCTTTTTTACTTTTTTCCTTTTTTTTTCTAACCTTTGGGTTAAATGTTTCTTCCTATGCTGATGAAAATTGCAAGACATGAGGAGGATTCAATGTTTTTTCCCTTTTTCCTTTTTTTCATTGTCGACTTAACTTTAAACTCGAATCATTTTACTTTTCATTTCACCAAAAAGATCTCATGTCAAGAGATTCATCTTTATTTAGATATCACAAATTTTTTCCTCTTCTAGACCTTTGTTTAATTTAGATAGTTCTTTCTTTCCAATTTTGAATTTTATTTGTTCATCTTTATTTAATTATGAAGTTAGGTTGCTTCATAAAGAAGAAAAAATGGTTATGAGGTTAGGATTTAATAAATCATTTAGCTAAAAACGGACATGATATGAAACTAATAATTTTTTTTCTTTAGTACAACAAGTAGAGGTAAGAAATCGAATTCACAGCATTTTATTTAAAGATATATGTTAATTACCACTAAACTATACTTGTTTTGACGTATGAAATTAATAAATTAGTCGTAGCAACCCAAAAAAATATAATAAAATTAATACGAAATGTTGCTAAAGGAAATTTATGTGGTCTAAGAGTACCTACGGGACAAAAGATATTAGTGGTACCCACAAAAGTGATTTTATAGGCTACTTTTATTTTTTATTTTTTATTTTTTGTTTTTAGTTTTTAACATTTTAGAATCACAAACGTTTGGGGGTAAATGTGTTCCTGTTTTTCATTTTTTTCACTTTTAAAAAACGTTTCTAAAACTACGTATAAACAACGGATCAAGTTTCTTGTTTTCTTTTTT